ATAATAGCAGAACAGGGCTCAAAGTTTGAACATGTAGAAAGAATCACTGATGGACATGAAGGAGGAAGTGAGAAAAGAGTAGATTTACCATTAGTGGCAAACAATTCAGAGCCCAAGAAAGACCAAGCCTTGGATTGGAGAAAATCTTTTGCCCAGTCAAAAGTAGGAGACTATAACAGAAGAAAGGAGAAAAAATTCATCCAAACATCAGGTATCAGAACAGAAGTGGAACTAGTGGAAGGACTAGAAAAGTGATTTACCCATTGTCTAATTGCTTCAGGGCAAGGACCAAAATCAAGGTGTTGAGGCCAAGAATCATGCATCTGCACAAAACCCAACTGAATATTCTCATGCTGTGGTGGTTGCAAAGCATTATCATCACCATTTATCCAACCAAGTAGATCCCCCTCTAGAAATTCTTCTGGGATAAGAGGCTGTAGGTTGTTGAAGTCAGGAAAAGGGACAATCTCAACTGGGGGAATAGGTAGCTGAACCTGAGGAAACCCTTCTAAATCAGTGTCTGTTTCATCATCCATGGCCAGCACCTGTTCTTTAGCCACTGGGGGTAGGTCAACTAAATCTTGGTTGTTCTGGATCACTTCCTCAACTGGCAGAGCTAAACCATCCTCAGCAACATCTTGTGGTTGATCATTAGCATTCACATTCATAGGCTAGAGTGGAATTAGGAGAGGTCCTTCATCCTGAATGCCTTGTTAGACTATAGGTTGTCCCTGACCAAGCTGTTGGGCTACATTCTAGGGGGGCCATGCAGGATTGCCTAAATCAGCCTAAAACTGTGCATTTGGGCCATTGGGTCATTTGGAGGAGGTGGGCCTTGACCAGGCTATCCAAAGCCGAAAAACCCAAAGTTGTTGGGGTTGAGATCATCTGGATCATCTAGTGGGAAGTCTTCATCCTGACGGACAGCACCAAGCATTCTTGTGAGGATGATCTCACACTGAACTGTCTAACTATCTGATTCTGGTTCTTCACCTTCAGAGAAATTCAGGAACCAAGGGACAGCATCTAGACCTATCACTCTGGCTTTGACCAAGGCTCTTGCCTGATGGTTGTGATCCTCCTCCCACACTATGAGCTTTCCAAACTGGGAAACTACCTTGTCAACCAAAGAGTAAGACCACAAATCAAGATTTAGACCAATCATCATCAGCCAAACTTCATGGGTGTACACAGTGGTTCTGTTATTCCAAGCACGATCATGGGGAATAAAGGAAATGTGGAATTTGCCAGCTTGATGAGGACCATTGTTGATCAGAAAATCCCTATGCGACATATGACTAAAGGTGACATATGCTTGACCAAAAGGATAGGGTTGGATTGACTGATATGGCATCTGCATCTGCACATTCAGAAACTAAACCAAAGTATCATGGATATCATCAAAGTTCATCTGCTTCGGCGATAGAGGATGGATGAAAGCAATGGCAAGATCATTGTTGCGCCTCTACAATCTACTAGTAACCACTCTATGCATGACAGGGCGACCTGGGACCATCACCCGCTGACCCCAAGTGGGCATGAAAGGAGCAGGATCCACAAAATGATACGCCATCACAGCAGGTTCAGAGTTTACTATAGCACCAATTGGGGTTTTTAGAGTCCAAGCCACATGAATATAGGAAGGAAGGTGATGAATGCCAAGGAACTTAGTGGCATACTCACCAAAGGACGAGCAGATGAGTGATGGCGATGGCTCCGAGGTCGCCGCCGACACCAAAGGTGACGAAGAGGGAGGCTCGTCGTCAATGAACTCGGGAGCAGTAAGCTTCCAAGGCCGACGCCAAGGAACGGTGACAAGTGAAGGAATAGATGAGAGACCAACCAAATGTTTAATGTATTCAGGGAGTGTGGGAAATAATCTCGGGGCCTGCTGCCCTTTTGATCCACTTTTTAGTGACGTAGTAGCACGTTGATCTCTAGAAATCGAAGAGTCACTCGAATCATAGGGGGGGACATGGGGATCGAGGTGGGAGTCTGCACATTCCGGAAACGTGGCCAAGGCGGAGACATCTCCGGCAGCAGACACCACCGTTGCAAGCAGGTCGGGAGTGGGCCAGGGATAAGAATTTAGTGCATAGCTGAAGTAAAGGCCCATAGCCTAGAGTAACATGATTAGGATTTGGAATCAGGCCCAGGATTCTAGCCTCAGAAACAGAAACGGCCTTATAACTAATAGTTGGACCATGATTAAGTCTCATAAAGACTGATTTACAACTCGAATTAAAAGCTAAATTCGAATTTGAAAACTCCATGGCGATGGAGCTTGAAGGTATACCATGACGGCCATGAATTGGAACAGAGTTAGCACTAGAGAGACGTACCATCTTGCGTTTACTCACTGTCTCCCATTCAGAATCCTGCTCTAGACACTAGTTATGATATTCAACTGATAATTTGGCCCTCCACCATGCCAGAGGTGGAAAAAGACCTTGAAATCAACACATTCAAAGGAACGGAGGTTGAAGATATGAAAACTAACAAGCTGTGAGGCCATTGAGAATCTGAAAACTCTGTCATCTAATTGCACAACTTGAAAAGCTTTGGGAAAACCTCCAAGAATAGCTTGGAGAAGATGTTCCACCAGAGTCACAGATAAACGAAATTTGCAACGACCCACTGAAAGAACAAGGAAGAAAGCCTTAGCTTTGGACGCTGGATCACCATTGACCGCTGAACCATATCGACGAAGGATCTCGGCTTCAACCACATGGCCGGGCCGAGTGTTGAAGGCAAGGATGGCCATGGACATCAGGCTCTAGAAGGGATGCCATGGGAGAAGATCTTCATCTCGCCGAGCTTCCTCTCTTCTTGCCTACATAATAATTGCTAGCCGCACCTGGCTACATTATGTGTATTATATATTATGGAACCTGCAAAAAAAACATCTGCGTGCATGTGTATTATGGTGTGTACTCCTAATAAATTGTAAAATAAGTGAGAGAAAAAACTTGTGGACCATGGAGGAACAATTATTGAATGCTGAAGGATGTTTTGTTTAATGAAATGTTGTTCTTTATACTCTGTTTTTCACTGTGGCGGATCTAGAAAAATAAAGGAAGGACTTATCTTATAATCTTTCATCCCTAGCCTCTCCTTCCAAGCTTGAATAGGTGCAAATTTGTAGGAGAGGCTTAGAAGGGGCTCCATGGTCCGAGCAACGGTAGTGGAGGCTTGAACCCACCCCACCCCGGTGCTGGACCCACCCCTGGTTTTTCATTAGAGAAATTGTATAGCTACTTGTGCATCCATATCATGAACACATTGACTGCCATGGGCCACGAGCTTGCCCTTCTCCTTTGTACATTCTCATTCTATCTATATCGTGCCAAACCTTAAATTTACTCCACATAGACTAGAAGGTATGGTTAATTAATATTGAGTAAATTTCATTGATGGTCCTTGAATTTGTCTCTAGTTCTCATTCAGGTCTCGGTACTTGCAAATTGCGCATTCAGCTCTCCAAACTTGTCCCGAGCTCTCATCCTAGCCCTGCTACTTATAAATTGCACACATGACACTCTAAACTTGCTCATTCAGCTCCCTAAACTTGTCCCAAGTTCTCATCACTTAAAAAATATACACTTAGCTCTCTAAACTTGTATTATTGTACCATCCTCTCTCTCTCCCCCCACATTGTGCCACACTCGTGAAGCCATGCCGCACTGCACCACATTCACCCACCCACAGGGGTGTAGCGCGCAGGGGTCGGTGTTACGACTGCTACCACGGAGGATGACACTCTAAACTTGTTCATTCAGCTCCCTAAACTTGTCCCAAGCTCCCGAACACAAGGGTGACCGGCAACGAGTGGGCGACGCCGTGATGCTCTTGGCCATCTGCCGCTGTATGCGCTGTGCTCTGCTATATGTAATAGGCTAGCGTGAGGGAGAGGATCATCAATCAAGTACATTGTAAACAACTTGCCTCTCCTGCAAGAAGAACTCATCTGAACTCGCCCTATGCTTTGCTATCCTGCCTTACTCCGATATTCCTCTGCTCCCTTCCCCTGAACTCTCGATCCCGTATCTGCTATCGTAACAGTCGGGACGTGCGGCAGAGGCTCAGGTGAGATGTGCAGGCCTAGCTTATTTCTAGAACCTGCCACGCTACTTGGTCACCCATATCGTGCTTTCCCTACCGCACATCGCGTCGCCGTAACGGCCATCCTCGCTTCCGCTTAACTCATTCCTGCTCCACCTCAAAACGACGCCGGCTTTTGCCTTGCGACAGCCGCACTCGACACCGCCACCGCGCTCCTTCGTGGTACCGCCAGACCTAGGGAGGCATGTAGGGGAGACAAACTTGGGGTCACATCACGATCTAGTATCTGCCAGCGTCACCATGTGTTATAAATATGAAACAGAAAACTTGAAACCATGTCAACCACTCCTTGACACATCGATCTCAACTTGGTCTCTTAGTCTTAGGTTGCAAACAACGATTCTCTAAGATGCCCTGCGTCTTTGCGCAAGTCCAATAACGTTATCTTCGTCCGTGTCAGTTTCGAGAGGGTAATTTTCAGCAGCAACTCCGTTGTTTTTTTGCAATCATCAGTACATATGGGGCCAGCCGATCAGCTAAAATTAGAGACGGAGAAAAGTGCAGCTCGCGCCTCCAGCTCCAGAGGCTACTACCAGAACCGGAGGAAATGGACGGACCAGGTAGAAGAAGAGGGAAAGAGACAGCGATGAGACAGTTTGGGAGCCGCATGTAGTTGCGCATGCGCAGCCGGCCGCTCCCCGCGCTTGTCGTCCAGCCTCTGCATACTCTTGCCTCCCCAAGGAGATCTCCCTAGCTCCGTCCAGTTGGACAAGCCGGATCAAGCAAAAGCTTGTGTCTGGCTAGCTGTCACCGGGTTTCATCTCCCGTTGTTGACGCCGGGCTTGCCGTACGTCCTCCGATCCGTTGACGGTCAGGCCCTTTTGCTGGGTTCTGCGTTGCCGTGGTCGGAGAGAGAGGAGAAGGAGAAGGAGAGGGAGATGGAGTGCCTGCTAGGGCTGCTCAAGGTGCGGGTGGTGCGAGGAGTGCACCTGGCCATCTGCGACCCCCTCACCCACAGCAGCGACCCTTACGTCGTCCTCCGCCACGGACAGCAGGTAAACTGCATGCCGCTCCACCAGCTTCGATCTTACTCAATCGTAAGCCCAAGTCTAAGGGCAGGACTGCGACCGGATGGACGTCCGTGGCTGCTTTGTTTCCCGCGCGTACGCTTTATCTCGACCTAGACCTCAGCTTGCTGCGGGGCCACCATGCGGGCATCGAGCTGCCGTCGGCCCACCCGGGGCCATCACCTCCGTGGGCATCTGCGTGCTCGTCGGGTAGGGTTTGCCCATCGAGCACGAACTACCACGGTGAAATGGAGGGAAGGGAAGGGAGGGGAGGGAGAGGAGAGGAGAGAGCGAGGCGCGCCACGCGAGATAGGAGCTGAAGCCCTGCGACAAGCTGCTGTCCGCCAGTCACCGATGCCATTTCAAACATGCACAACACCATATCTACTTTAGAAACATCCATACGAAACATTTACAACATACGTTTGAAACAGATGAAACACTTGAAACATGCGTGTATAGTCATAGCAATATATGCAACATTCAGATGAAACACTGCAACGTAAGTTTGAAACATCTGAAACATACGCTTGAAACATACGTGTATAGCCATAACAGCATGTGCAACATCTAGATGAAACACTTGAAATATACGTCTGAAACACCTGAAACACTTGAAAACGTACGATTGCAACATGTGTATATTGTCATTGCAATATATGTAACATCTCAGATGTACTTTTGCAACATCCAGATGAAACACTTAAAATATAAGTATGAAACGCATGAAACACTTGAAACACGGCATCGCTGGCGGCCACGGCCTGGCTGGTGGGGAACTGCGGTAGCTAGCAAGCTCGGGTCAGGGGGACGTCGCTCCGCGCACTCGCGCCCGTCGGCGTGGCCCGTCGCTCCTCCTGTGATTCTCCAGCGCCTGCTCGCGTCCAAGGCTCGCGCCCGTCAGCTTGGCCCCGCTACTGCTACTTCGGCGCCGCTGCTCACTCGGCCACAGTCGTCCAGCGCCGTCCACTTGTGGGGAATGGGGCACGGTGCGGCCAGCGATGGGGTGCGGCGGGGGACGGGGCACGGTGGGGGAAGGGGGCGGCGGGGTCGAGTGGGGCAGGGCAAGGTGGAGTGGGGATTTTTTTAGAGAGAGAGAGAGAGAGAGAGAGAGAGAGATGGGGGGCCAGTCCGCTGCGCGGGCCTAGGAGCCGTGTTCGGACGGACGGACGCCCGTAGCTAAGCATTACTGCAAGTCTAAAGGATTTTAACCTTTTGCTATTATAACGGTTGGCATATCTTCAAATGTCACTCTTAGAATTGCCCTTACTTATTTGCCACTGGAGGGAGAATATTTCATAATTTTGAGCCATTTTTTCATATGCAGTAGGACACATAGACATGAAAGTGTCTGTGATGCGAAATGACCTTATTATCTCTCATCTATTTCTTCTTCCTCCCTCCCTTCCTCGCTTAAGCTCCCGCCATGGCCGGCAATGGGGAAAAAGCATCCCCATTGCAAGCATTTCTTTATATCCTTATAAGGATCTTCCAGTTCAATTCCTGCCTTTTGCATTTTAGTCCTTTAATTTCTAATAATGTGGCCATTTGTTTTCATATATTGCGCAGAAAGTGAAGTCAAGTATAAAATACCGCACGTGCAACCCAGAATGGAACGAGGAACTCACCCTATCCATCACAAACATGATGAACCCCGTCAAGATTGTAAGTTCATCGTGCGCCATGATCTTGATCTCCATGGGCAAAATGCAGCAACCTTGAGCTTTCTCCAGGATCGTCGCACCTTTCAGTACCCCTGACGCTGAACCTGAACTCTTCCTCATTTTGGCGCTTCGACTGACAGGAACTCTTCGACCATGACACGTTCACCAAGGACGACAGCATGGGCAACGCCGAGTTCTGCATCCTCAACTTCGTGGAGATCGCCAAGCAGGACCTCAGCGACGTCCCCGACGGCACGGTGATGAAGTCGATCCACCCGGAGACGGGCAACTGCCTCGCCACCGAGAGCCACATCACGTGGAAGGACGGCAAGGTCTCCCAGGACATCGTGCTCAAGCTCAGGAACACCGAGACCGGCGAGCTCGTCCTGCAGCTGACCTGGGTCAACATCCCCGGCGTCGCGCGGTGAATCCCCTCGATCGGCGGGGACGGGGCCAGGGCATGAGGTGGCGACGCCTGCCCAGCTGATTTTACTTTGATATATATGAACTTATGAAGTATGTATGTATGTAAATGTTGCTCCGTTTACCAAATATTTATCTAAAAAAATGTATTGGCAAATAAGGAGACCCTTGCCTTGGATGTGTGTAATGCTTGCTCGCAGTTTGGATAAGGTATGCAGAAGGCTCATGCTACTGGCAGCAATGCTTTATTCAGTTTTGCTTCTGCGTGATTTCTGCAGGGTTTTTTTTTGTCCACAAAATACATTTGTTCTCAACATCTGTGAAACTATTCCATACTGCAGTCATGTGCCGTCTTGTCACATTTCCATAAATCCATTTATCAGTAGATCACCATGTAGAGCCCAAAAAATATATATACATTTGCTTCAACATTACAGATAGGATGAACTGGATATTCAGATTCAGCCTATTGGGTTGCATGCACTGACCAAAAGTTTAAACTGATAGAAAAGGTGGACAATTCACTTTATATTTCAACACTCCTAATAAGAGTCATCTACAATTATATTTTATTTATTTGTGTCTGTCAGGATTCAAACTCAAGATCTCTGAACAATATTGAGTTGCATGCACTGACTAGTTTAATCCAAAAACTTAATCTAATAGGAAAAGGAGCGCAATTCAGTTTATATTTCAACACAGCCCACCATGGGGCTCCAGCTTCTGGTAAAAAGCAGTTTTTCAGAACTTCAGACGACCGAGTAAAAAACTGACAATAAGCATACTTGAACAGTGAAGGAGAAATCAACAGCAGTAGTCAGAACAGAAAGTTGGATGAAATGGGTAATTTCTCTCATCTGATAGACTGGTACCTCTCCTGGACTGAGTTCTAGATCACCAAAAATACAAGTATATACAACATTAATGACCTAGCTAGTATGTACAGCTTCGTCTTTCAAGCCTATGGCGGAGCATACAAAGAAGAACTGAAGAATAGATGGAAGCCAAGTCACTGTTGCAGTCTTTCACCGACCTAGGAAACCAGATGCGGTGAGCTTTCATTGTTGCTGCTCCGAGCACTTTCATGTGTGCGTTGATGCTTGGTCATTTGCACATCCCGAGTGAATTGGGTCCTTGATTTTGCATAAGGAGCTTCCCTTGCTGCAATGAAGGTCAAATGTAAATCCGTTACAACACAAACCTTTGTAATGCTTTTTTTTCATTGGACAATTGTTCACATTTCTTACCTGCAGCTAATTTTTTAGCACGGAGAATGTTTTGCCGTCTCTTCCACCAGCACGCAGCGAATACAACTAGGAACAGAATGGCTAAAAGCACACCGAAAGCCATGCCAATCTTCGCAGCCACGGATAGATGAGGGCCACACTCACGTAACCCAGGAATTCCACATAATCCGGCATTGTCCGTGAAGCTGCAGTTTTGTCACAGCAATCATTATGTTCCTTAGCGTGAAAAGGGGAAGAGAAATTTTACAACTCGAGTCATTTCTCACTTAAATCTAGCTCTGTGCAGAGGCCTTCCTCCCAAACTGGCTGGAACACGACCAGAAAGATGATTGCCATTCAGATTCCTGCATAGCAGAAATTCTATTAGTCTTAGGTTTTGGGGAAAGAAAAACGAATGTGAAAGGCCACTAAAACAGAGTAACTAGTGCACTCACAGAATCTGTAACAATGTCAGCTCGCCTAGGCTCTCTGGAATAGATCCATTAAGCTCATTGTATGACAGATCCCTGCGAAGAAAATTAAAAACTATTTGTCAAATCTAAGTGACCAAACATATTTCCATGAAGACAATTTAAAAGAAGGAAAAACCAAAATAGTATTGACATGCTAATTACATGAGCTGAATCCTCCAAATGAAACAGCGATTGGTTTCCTACTTGTAATGTGTCACAAGATGCATTTAAAAAGATTAGCTCCATGTGCACTGAGAAAAGTGATAAGCAGCCTGAAAAGTCACTACAAATATGAAGTATCAAGGACACTGGCAATTTTAATATGATGATGCAAGATACAATAACTGAAACCACTGCTTCTGATGTTCTGTATCCAGCTATTGCTTAAAGGGCAAATCTTCAGACAAATAAATAAATTTTCCCTACAATCACCTATCCAAGTTCAATTGGTATTGCACATTAACCAGCTGGGAACTTAATGAATATGGAGTACCATTTACAAAATTTTCAATTAATTTCATCAGAAAATCATATTATGAATTAGGACATCCTTGAAAGAACAGAAATATAACAGATACACTGAAGTGCACTTACAGTACTTGCACCGCAGAGATGGTACCCAGGGAGATTGGAATGTTACCCTTTATGCTATTGCCACTCAAGTTTCTGTTTCACAAGATAGGCAGTTACTTCTGTCAGAATAACCAGAAGTGCTAGCACTTCCTTATGAGTTATGACAGTAAGAACTCTAAACGACTACTTCAATCTGCAATCAGATTTAACTTCTTAAACAATACTGGATTACTCTGTATTCTACTTAGCCATGTCACCATGGACCATAACCCAACCAGTTCTGGCCAGCAACTCATATTCTTAAGAGCTTAAACTCTGTGCTGCAAGGGTTTTGCAGTTTCTTTTTATTATTACTATCAGCATATGCCATAAAATCAGTCCCATAATTAAAACTATCGAAAGCATGTTAAATATGTGATGACCATATTAGCTGTTTTTCATGTATTGTGCATAAAAACAGAAGTAAACACTAAAAAATTCTGCATCATCTACTTACAAATGACATGGAGCAATTACAAAGCAGCACTACGCTGATTCTTGATGCTTCAGCCCGTTTCCAGTGGTGTTTTATGTTGCACAGGTTTAATAAGATACACATTTAAAAAATAACTCCAGTTATTGTTGTGAAAATGTTACAGGCTTTTCACTTTAAACAGATAATGAAAACTATTGATAAACAGAATAATATCAAGTGGTCATCCATTCATGCCAGTGTTCTATACAGAAACTCACATGTTTTGCAGATGTTGCAGCTTAGATATGTCACTAGGTATGACCCCTTTTAAACCTTGGTTGTCAAGACCTCTGCACATTCAAGGAGTAGTATTAAAAACTTGCAGCAAAAAAGTATGAACTACCATTGACTCATAATTTTGAAATCCTAATGCATATAACAGGAAGCAAAAACATTGCGGTTAAGCCCATAAATATGACAATACAACAAGAACTAAGAAAAAAAAACTCTCTGACCTATTAAGCAAGCCTGACAGTTTTAAATGCATTATGCAACAAGTCTAGGAGCAAGATGTTGTAAGCCTCGAGATCAAAAAAAAGATGTTGTAAGTCTCAAGCCACTAAAATACTTGCTTCAACTTCCATTTGGGAATACTTTAAAACAGAAAATATAGGACGTCAACTGGTGTCAGCTAATGGAAAATTTGTAAGTTCAGTTAGAGACTGTTTATTCGTTCAATTTTTCCATTTGTACTAGTTTGAAGTTACTGGAATGCATCTGCTACATTTAATTTTTATGCTTCAAATACAAGCAGATAGTATAATAGTAATATTGCTATCTTTTTATCTAAACATATACTATCTTAGTTTCAAATGATGAATAAACAAAATCCATTACATCACTTCTGGCATGGTAGTCATAAAAATATCAATCCCTCGTGATGTGAATCGTAGAATGAGCATGATCTAGAGAACGTACAATCCATCAATGATCCAGTTCCCTTTGGTGTTATCAAACTGGCAATCAACTGCACTCCATGGATGCTGCTGAGGAACACAGGGGTCACCATTCCAGCCAAGTCGAAGAGGAAGACCAAGTGAACCCTTCAACGTTCGCAATGCACTCACTGTAGGTCATTGAAAACAAGACAATTAAAGCATAAAACCAATAGCCAGTTCCTTGTAGCACTCGTGTGAATTACTGTTCTATGAAAAACAAAAATCCATAAGTTGTGCTACTCATTCAGATTCAGATAAAGCATTTTTCTTCAGTTGTAGATTTTATCAACTATCCCCATGCATCATTTAATCTTCTATTAATTGCCTCCATCATTAATGCGCTGCTAGATGATCCTTTGCAAGATTCTAAACAAATGAGGCTTGAAACTTTACTTAATTTTGGTACACCTAGAAAAAAATTAAAGTAGCGAGTATGGAGAATTTGAATAACAACCTTCCTGAGGCAAAGTCTTCTTTTCAGCTGGGATTATCTCAAACACCTCAATGGCATTAATAATAGCACGGGTTCCTTTCACAGGTTGCAAGATGATTTTTAGCGTTGTTCCACTGACAGCAACAGTTTTATTCAGGACAAGTGCAGTAAAACACTCTCCTGTCATGCGAATTATATCTACATCCTTAAAAGCAGTGTCTCCATTGATGAGTACATCAAATACTCTTTGTTCTTCTGCAGTTACCCCATTATCAATCTCTGCAAAGTGAAGCCATACTGAATAGTTCTTGTTCGGAGTAACATCCATTTCAAAAGACAAACTCGGTTGCCTATCAGTGCCCACGATAGCTGATTGGTATATGCTTTGAGGGTAAAAATTTGGTGCAAGCAATGTCTCTGCTATAACATTCTCAGTTGATATTGATTGATCATCAGAACTGGATGATAAAGTCTGCAATCCTAACCAGAATCTGTCCCCACCCCAGCGAATCCCATTCAGATCTTCATCGAAGGCAGGCTTTCCAGAGCCACATTTCAACCTTTTGGCTGTTCTAAACACTGTCCCCTTTCCCCATGGTGGGCCAAAGTTATAGGCATTGTCATCTATTTGTAGAACTTCAATAGAAAGAATCGATGGATCACCATGACCTGTGCTATGGAAGCAAACTGATAAGCTTGAGTCCTGGACAAAAACCAAAGCTTCTGCAAATGTCTTCTCATCGTCGCTGCTCCAGCCCAGAAGCAAAGAACTGAACAGAGTACCCTCAACAGAAACATCGAAAATCGGCTCGCTGTCAAGATTAGGGTTGTCCGGTAACGCAAAGAAAAGCCTAACTTGATAGTGGCCGTTGGGAACATTGTTGATGTTGTAGCAATTTTCAGGGCCATCAGATAGTGGGAAATATCGAAGCGTTTTCAGGGGAGGAATGATAAAGCTTGGACGTGTGGCATTTGCAAACCTGCCTCCAGTATAACCAAAGTCTCTGTACCACAATGTGTTTGTAGGCGCCGTCCGGACATCATCGAAACTTCCACAGCTTATACGGATGGTAAATGGTTCTGAAAATAAACACGCATTAAGAACTACAGGACACAGAAACTAAACCAAACAGCTGCTGTAAAGCGATGTAACATGTGAATTCTATACACAGCAAGTGTTCCTTTGAATCAGGAATGTCTAGCATACTGAATGGAAGGCTTCCGTGTTTCCTTTTGTTCACCTATACTTAGTTTCACATGCCCTCCTTCCTCTTTTGTCCTAGCTTGAGCAATTTTATCTTAAAGATGGCAAAATAGTCAAATGTATGCACATGTCAGCAAGAAAAGAAAGGGCAAAAACTGCACTACTTACAAGTAGCTAAGAGGCGACCGATATCAGCTGAATGAACACAAAAGGTTTCTAAAAATGGGTAAGACTCTGTTCTTCATCTGGTACTCCCCAGTCCCCACAGAAATGGACCTATAGCTAAACAAAGATGGATATTTTTGAGGAAAAACAAAGATGGATATTGTAGGAAAGCATCCAGGCTGGGACCAAACAACAACGAATTTGACCAAGAATGCAAACACCAATGAACGAAAATTCAAGAATTAAGAGGGGCTTCGAGGAATTTGAAGAACCTAGCACTGCTGGATTACGAGGTAAGAAGAAAAAATAAAGAAAGCAAAATAAACACAAAAATTGACTAGAAAATACTAGATTTCGCTGAAGACGCAATACCACCAGCAGCACAAATGCAAGGACCTGGCGGCCACTGTGCCGCATTGAGCAAGATTTTCAGCATGGGGGCCAAATCTCAAGCTACTAGACGCATGCAAAAGAGCTCACCTTTGCTAAGATCAGCCGCAAGAACACCAAGGGCAGCCGACGACGCGGAGACGGCGAGCAGCCACAGCTGCAGCTGTAGCACGACAGGGGATCTCCACCGCATTGCGCCTCCGCCGCACTTGCCCTATTTCCTCTTCCTTTCACTAACTCTCCAAGTACGAGTCTTTTTCCTCTGGCTTTGGACAAGACAAGGCTTTTGCCTCGAGAGTTTATTTACAGCACGCTGAAAATTCGCACGGATTTACTGAAGAAAATCCATCTCGGTACAAATCTGAGAGGAGGACGCCCCCGTGTTTTCTCAACGGCGCCTCCGTTTAGGAAAAAAAAAAGGCTTCAAAAATCGAAATGAGCTGTCTGGATTTGAGAGCAGAATTGAGTAGAGCAATGGCGATTAGACGGTGCTAAGGTGGTTGCTTTTATGACAGTAGCAATGGAGGCAATGTGGTCTCAGATTTTTTTTTTCTTTTATTTTGGCCGCAGCCTCGCAGGGCTAGACTTCTACAGTGGAGCAGCTCACGCTGTTCCTGGATTATGATGAGTGATGTCGACTCACGAGCCACACTCGAGGATTTGAAAAGAACTGCACGGATTCTCCTGGTTGTGAGAATGAATGTCCCACTCCTACCCTGATTTTTTTAAAACAAAAATAATAACGGATGTGCCAGGATGTGGGTCAGGATTTAAGCTTAAAATCTCAGAAGAAATTTAGGCGGCATTCGATGTGAGCCGATTTTCGAAAAAGCTTTGCATTCCAAATAATAAAAAACTCCTTTTCTGCATTATTTACTAAAAAGAAATGCCCGAATCTAGCCGGACGCCGAAGCTGCCAAAGGCCAAAAGCTGGTTTTGGTGGGTCACGTGCGAACGGACGAGAAAGGGAACGAAAGCTGCGGGCGGAGCTGAGCTGACGAACAGCTGAGCGGGCGCGGGTGGCTGCTGGCTGTGCCGGACCGCGCCATCGGCGGCCCCAACAGCCGGTCGTTACGGCGAGTAATGCGCGCCAATCAGTCGTCGGTCGTGCAGTGTCGTGCTAGGTGGTGCCAGAACCGAGAATCTGTAGCGCAACAACGGCAATGCAGGATGCGGCCTGCGGGAAGGCCGACAGGGTAAATGACAACGAGATGCGCCCGTGCCTCCAGTTCGTCCGTATCCAACAACTGCCGAATGAAGCTGGGAAAAATAGAAGTGACCAAGTGCTGAACTGCCCGCCACTCTGCACGTCTCGTACCTGAAAAACGTCAGGACGAACACCAGATCGAACAACTGGGTCAGCAGCGTGACTCCAGGACAGAAAAAAAAAAGGCGCTGCTCATTATGTAGAAATCAGAATGCGTCCACCAAATCAAGAATGCACATCCGGAACTCTTTCACAGTGTTAACAACCTTTGTACAACGCTCAGACCAAAACGCAGGGCCGAAATACTGGTAGCAGGCAAAGGCATGCAACAGTGAAAACCGCATAGGCGGGGAAGGAGGATTTCTCCGTGGGATGCTTGATACAATAGTTTGTACAACACAAGACCTCTGGAAATCAATAGCATAAAACTTTTCTGCAATTATGTTGATAGCTTTCACACGGTTGCAGCCTCACCTTATTGTACCTCAGTTCCCACCTGTAAACATCAACGTACACAATAAATGGAGGGCACGAAAACTAGATTTTCTGGGGGAGAAGGTACAGGATGTCACGATACCTTGTACAAGCTGAGCTACCTACTTGTTAACTATATGGTACAAAGCCTCATCTAAGCTGGCGGTAGGGAGCGCCTGCAAGTTGGGCACTCCATCTTGATGTCCATCCAACGTTGTAAACAGCCTGAGTGAAATATATGCTCACAAGGTGCCACCTGCAGGAGGAAGGACGGTGAGTAACCAGTAAAAGCTGCCTGCAAAGTGAAATGCCAAAAATATTTCACAATTTACCATGTATTCACTTGTTCTTTGGGTAAGGTCGATTGTAGTCATGCAAATAACACAATCAATGGGCTGATTCGTGCTATCCTCTACCTTCCTGTGGTAGCAGTATTTCTCAGGCAGTATCTGAAAAAAGTAGAAAGTGGACACAATAGGTTACTTCTAAAAACTGACACTAATAAAATACGCTATGAACATCAATACAAGGAACAGCTCAATAGTGAAACACATCTACAGTGGCAACCTAAACAGCCTTCGAAGGAAAGGATTAGCTGCATGAATGGCAACTAAAATACATCTATGATGCAGCAGAACAGAATGCATGTGCGATGATAACATTATATAGTTATTACCTGGCGAGGAATAAAGCAGCGAGAACCAAGATAGTGCTGAAGCAGAAGCACTGCTGCTTGGATACCCATGAATACTGTAACAGCTATGCACCATTTCTTGTCGGACTCAATGCGCATGAAGTTACTAGGGCAACCAAATATGTACAATGGAATAGCAAGGCGGGTAACTGTCATGCCTAAAATATATTGCGGGTGCAGAGGTTTTCTTGTGTCCCTGATGACATTTGTGATAATTTGAGGTACCCAAAAGGAGTACATCAGGAGAAGAAGTGGGCGTAAGAAATTGTGCAGCTCATACATTAGAAGGATTCCTCCCAAAAGAATGCCATCTGCAGAGCACAAAGCAAATTAAAGAATACCTTAAAGTTGGTTAAGAAAAAAGGTTAACATTTGTACCGGTATGTGGAAGATGCAAAAAAAAAAATCTTGTGGGGGAGGGGGTAAGATATCTTGTATCAAGTTAACAAAGGAAATGAACACTCTAAAAGCTCTAACAGAATATCCAGGTTTCCATTTATAGCAAGCACCGAGTACTTCACCAACCAACTAAAACATGGGTAAATGTGATTTACATGCAGCAGGTAAAGGGGGCATCAAAGGTATGCTGTAGACAAGAACCAGCTAACAGGGGAAAGGTCAAATTGATTGCACATGTAAGTTCCAATAGAAACAAATATATGGCAAGAAGCATGCCACCACTCTGTATGCAAACTATGTTGATTAGGATTCATTCCTATTGGCGTGATTCTTAGTGAAAAGAAACCAAATGAGCATAGTTACTACTTACAAAAGCGGCTGTAAAGAACAGACAGCTCTCGCCTCATTATCTCCCAACCTTCTCCACTGTTTAAAGGCCTACTTGCTTTCCATATAGCAAGAAGGTACCTCATTTCAAAAATAGAAAATACAACAAATTTGAAGAATGCAGCCGTTGCGAAGGCGTTAAAGAGTGACTCTGTAGAAAGTTAAACACATAAGAAGAAAGTGTTATTCAGTTATAATCACAATGCAGAAGTAGTAATAAAAGTTAAGCAGGCCAATACTCCCTCCATGTTCCAATAATCACTTTAGCTTTGTCCTATGCCAAATTTCCTAACTTTGACCAGGTTTTTAGAAAAATGTATTGAGTGACTGACCAAAAGGGGACTGAATATTGAAGAAAATATAACCAAATACAGACCACAAAGGCACAAATCCTTGAACAGAAATAAATGAAATCCTACTTTGTCATGTTTTAGTTTACAATCAAAGGAAAGAAAAATTATTAGCAGATGTTACAATGGAACAGTCAGAGAACAGAGCACAAACAAATTATGCAAATCACAGTACTCACCAACCAATATCCCAGCAGTCAGGTGAAGTAGACAGAGATATGCATCCATGATAGCTTGTTGGCCAATCATTAAAATAGAAACCTTAGCAGCTCCCTGTAAGCAATACATAAGCAACTCAAGCAAATGAGCTTGGAAGCCATGTAATGCAAGTGGTTTTGTTTTACTAAATGTTTCTCAAAGGGAAAAGAAATGCTTACGGATTGAGTGTTGCTATGCTCCATTTGTCTAATCAGCAGCAAAACTTGAAGGAAAGAGATCTACCATACCCTAGTTAAGGAATCCACAGACTGGACAGACCAATAAAGATAAAATCAACATAAAAAATGAAAATAAAAACAGCCACAGAGGATACAAAAGTAACCATCAGTGTGTAGTTGACTGCTTTGTTGTAATAAACTTCAACATTCAAAGAAGTTGCATTCAATAAGATAGGAGAGAAGCACTCCCCATCATCATCGACAGCTGGACTCTCCACCAAACCCTCCAAACGGTACTTCTCGTGTTCTCCATCTAGTTAAACAAAAAGTTTTTGCAAAAGCAGATACTGTTTTAGCTGTAACTGAATATGAGGAAATTACCAACTAAAAGTTTAGTGCCACATGTAAATTATGATGAAGCACAACAAATTGATTGTGGAATGAATTTAAGAATAAAGTAAAGGAATTACATACCATTTGGGTTAGATGACACACGAACAACCTTAGCAGCTATTTCTGTGTTGCAATGTTTCTCCATGTCATATGTGAGAGCTGATAAGGTGGATATAACACACATCAATAATTGCAAGAGGCGATATATAGTGTTTGAGTGGTACAATTTGAATCTTACAATTCTTCCTTTGGTTCTTCTCTTCAGAAGATTCTTGGAACACTTGAGAGGAGAAAATCCGCAGCTGTTACAAATCAACCAGATAAAAGTATATTTCATAAACATGCTCATTAATTATAAGAGATCTTCTGAGTACTAGATAAATGCACATTTGAAGACAACTTAGACAAATGTATGATGGATACTAAGAAGCTTGTGAAAACTCAGGAAGCAAAACAGAATTTTGAACGATACATTATGAAATAATATCCATGTAGTACTAAAAAACAAAACAAGCTAAATTTGTGAGCTTACCAAATGGTATGGATTTGACAAAAAGTAATCCTCTTCCTGAAGTGGTTCACCATCTGCACCACTAAAAAGGACAAAATAAAGTTTCACTAGGTCATACAACGAAAGGAGGGTGTCTAAAATGTTTCTATTTAACAAGAAACTTTCCACAGAAGAATGAAATTCAAACAGACCTTCAGTTACAAAGAGAAAATAAGGCAGTTACCTGTTTGATACCATGCGGAGTTGTCTAAAAGGCCATATGTACACTCCTTCTAACCTTATTTGAGCCACTCCACCATCGTGGGCATTGTCAATGACATCATGGAATGTAATTGAACCCTGTCCATGTAAGGAAAGTAATCAGTGCCTACAGCATGCTGAGGAAAAGGGTCAAGCTTGCA